TTGTATTTATATAACACTGTGCAGAATAGAACTCCACACACTGATTCTCTTTTTAACATATATCCCTCTGCACACATTGAACCTTCTGTCGGCTTGTTTCATCATATCCACTAAGTCTTCATCCTCAATGGTCCCTGCAGGCAGGCCAGAATGCCCAATCCACTTTGCCATTGAGCTCTCCAGGACTTTCTGCTCTTTGGCGTCAGGGGTGGGGGTGCAACTCTGCGACAGACTTCCCTTCCTTCCCAAACCCCTGATCTGGCTGTGGTGTCACTGTGTCTGGAATCTAGTTGGGAGGAAGAAATTTAAACGATTAATATCCAGAGTATCAGTAGAACATCTTTCTTGTATGACAGAGAGACAGACAGAAAGAGGCACAGGAAGGCACACACACACACACACACACACACACACACACACACAGCCACACAAACACCCACACACACCCCTGTTCCCAGGGGTGTGTGTGTGCCTATGGCAGCGTGTCGGCACCTTAGATGTCGATTGAGATTCGCTGTGTTCTTTCCTGCCATTTTCATGCCGCAGACTCTTTGGTGGCGTCCTTCCTCCGGTGTTTTACTTCGTGTTGTAAACAAAATGGCTCCATACATCCAGGCGTTGTTTAACAAACCGCACACCGGTATCTGCAATGACTGTGAAGTTGAGCTATGAGTATAAGCCCTCTGCTACTGACTGAGCGGCGCGAGACACTGTGGGACAGGCGCCGTTTAGGGACAAACAAGGCAACAACGCGTAATCTTCTATGAAGCTTAAGAAACACTCATATTAAAAAGTACAAATTCATTATAAACAATTAAATTTTTTAATGTCCCTTCGTCCATGGATCGTAAATTATGTCTGTCTTAGTCTCGTTGACGAAAATCATTTTTTATTTTCGTCATATTGTTATTTTCTGGAAAAATCGTCATGGGGAAAAGGGGTGTTGACAAAATATTTTCGTCATCGTCATTGTTGATAAAAATTAACAATGCTCTGAACTTTCCCTTACCACAGTGATTCCCAACCAAAGGTATGTGTACCCCTAGTGGTCCGCAAGTGCATTGCAAGGGTTGCAGCCTTTAGTGAAAGACTTTTACACCCTGTCTATAAAAAGGAGCGCTACCAAAGGTCATTCATCCCTGCTGCAAGCAGACTCTACAATGCCACACTACAAATGCAATAACTGCTGCAATGTATGAAAATTACTATGTAATACCCTGTGCAATAAACTGTTTCTTTATATCTGACACCCTGCGCAATAACTATGTAGATAAATATCCATCTATATAAATACCCATGTAAACATCCTGTGCAATAAACCCTGTATAATGATCCTGCTATACAACAAAGCAAAAGCTGTCATATGTGGACGCACTGTTTATACTATATATATCCCATGCACCTTTTTCCTCCTTTGACTATTTCTGCTGACGGAACAAGTTCACTTCTCCACTGTGAGATCAATAAAGTAAAAAAATCAATCGTTCAATGTTTGAGTT